AGCTCCTCGCCTTCGCGGCGCTGATGTTGGACGGCCACGACGTCCGAGTCATCGGCCGCGACGTCGAGCGCGGGACCTTCGCCCACCGCCACGCCGTCCTGCACGACTTCGCCAAGGTCGGGACCTACACCCCTTTGGCCAATTTAACCCCCCTCGCGGGGGAAAAGGGCAAGTCGGACGCCAAACTCGGCACGTTCGCCATCTCCAACACGCCGTCGAACGAGTACGCCTCCCTGGGCTACGCCGCGGGGTTCGCCCTTGAGGATCCGAACCGGCTGGTGATGTGGGAGGCCCAGTACGGCGACCTCGCGAACGGGGCCGAGATCGTCTTCGACCAATTCCTCTCCGCAGGGGAGGACAAGTGGAATCAACAGCAGTCCTGCGTGGTATCGCTCCCTCACGGGAATACCGAGGAGGGCCCCGAGCACTCGAGCGGGCGGTTGGAGCGGTTTTTGCAAATGAGCTCGGAGGACCCCGAGCGAACCCCGGCCTACTCCCCCGCGGAGCGCTCTCATCGCGTGAATTGGGCGGTGGTCTTCCCCACCACCCCGGCGCAGTACTTCCACCTCCTCCGGCGGCATCTGAAGCGGGATTATCGGAAGCCGCTGGTGGTGTTCTTCGCCAAGCGGCTTCTCCGCGCGCCGAATACCTCCTCGCTGGGGGAACTTCTCGCGGGGGAATTCCACCCCGTAATCCCCGACCCCGACGTCGTCCCAGGGGGGGGAATCCGCCGCCTGGTCTTCTGCACGGGGCCGATTTACGCCACTCTCCACGCCTATCGCGCGGCCCAAGGGGGGGCGCGCCCCCCCGACGTCGCCCTCGTCCGGATCGAGGAACTTTCCCCGTTTCCCGTGGCCGAAATCCGCCAGCTTTTGACGGAATTTCGAATCCTGAAGGCCGACGGGGGGGTCAATGAACCGACCGCCTCTGCCGTGGAGTTGGCGTGGGCGCAGGAGGAGCCGCGGAATATGGGGGCCTGGAGCCACGTCGAGGCTTTTCTCGACGCGATCACGCACGGAACGCGGCCTGTGCGGTATTTCGGCCAGCCAATTTCGACCACCCCCGCCACGGCGTTTCGGGAGAAACACAAGTCCATGCAGCAATATATCTGCAAAAGCGTCTTTGGGGAATGAGAGAAATCCATAAATAACTAAATAAAAAAACAGCCTTTTGCGTGTGCTTCTGTTTTTTTGTTCTTGTTTTTTTTTAAGGAACT